GCTTGGAGCAACCTGGGCTGGTGGAAGGTGTCCAGGCCCAGGGCAGGGGGGAGGAATGACATGATGTTTAAGTTCCCTTCCAGCTGAAATCATTTAATGATTCTGTGATTCTGAAATGCCTGATTCCTGTTTTCCAGTGTGACCTTTCCCCCTGGGCAGTGACAAGAGAAGAAGTGGATCGGTTCAGCAAGGAAAATGGCTTTTCGGGATGGGTGGAGACTTCTGTCAAGGAAAACAAGAATATCAATGAGTCCATGAGGTAGGAACAGTGCCTGGTGATGCATCCAAGAGTTAATTCCCTGCACAGAGAGGTTTTGGTCTCCCCATTCCTGGAATTGTCCAAGGCCAGGTTGGATAAACTTGGAGCAACCTGGGCTAGTTTAAGGTGTCCCTGCCCATGGCCAGAGGGTGGAACTGGATGAGCTTTAATGTCTCTTCCAACTCAAACCATCCTGTGATTCCCTGATCCTGTGATCTTTTCCAACACAGTGAGGGAGGTGCTGTCAGTGAGGAACAAATAGCAGCAAAAACACACAATAAATCTCCCAAAAGGAACCTGAATTCTGAGAGGTCACAAGTTCATCCCTCCTCGGATCAGCTCTGACGTGGTTGTGGAGACAAATCCTTTGAACAGCACCAGGGGTGTTTTTTCACGTGCTGGCCTCTTCCAGGAGGATGGGAGTTCTTGTGCAAAGAGATCAGAATTTCTCTGGTGATGCACCAATCCTTTAGTGCAGAATTTGGCCTTTTCTGAAGGGCATGGGAATCATGGAATCATTAAGGTTGGAAAAGACCTTTAAGATCATCCAATCCAAAACATCACCACCATCATGTTCACCACTAAACCATGTCCCCAAGTGCCACATCCACACATTTTTTGAGCACTTCCAGGGATGGTGACTCCACCACTGCCCTGAGCAGCCCCTTCCAGGGCTTTACAACCCTTTCCATGAAGAATTTTTTCCTTGTGTCTAATCTAAACCTAGTCTGGGTGTTCACAGCTCATGTTGAGCTTGGGCAGGTGGTACCCAGGGGGTCTGTTGATGTGTCCCAGTCCTTAACAGGACCAGAGCTGAGGTGGTTGCAGTAGGTGTTGTGAGTTATCCAGTCACTGCAGAGCCTCCTGATGCTGCCAGGTAATCTTAGGAATCCTCTTCTCAGTGCTATGAAGTCCCTTAACCTGATTTTTAAATCATTTTGCTGTAGTTTTGTGTCCTTCTGACCTGAACTGCTGTTTCTTTTCTGCACTGCTGAAAAGCTTTGTGCCCCCCAATGCTGCTGGTTAAAAAAAACCCAAACAAACCCACAAACCAAACTCCCTGTGGTGGTTTGAGACCCCTCAAAAATCCAATTTCCAGGTTCAAGCCCCCCTCCCACAATTTGCTTTAGTGTGAGAGGGTTTTCAGACAAAACACAGTTACTCAGCATTGGGGGAAGGGGAAAATACTTGCAAGGTTTATTTATATACATATATATAGGTAACATATATATATATAGGTAACAACTATCTCTTCTACATATTGACATTAGATTAAATTTCTCTTTTTCTTCAACAAGAATGTTTCTCTTGCAGAGTGCTGATTGAAAAGATGATGTCCTCATCCACAGGTGATGGAAGTTCCTCCACTGCTGGGAGTGGGGATTATATTAACTTAAAAGAGACCTCCCCACCAGGCTGGGCGTGCTGTTAGAGCCCCTGACACACCATCTCCTGGGGTCTAGCAGTGATGGTCCTTTTATCATCATCGTCATCATTTCTCCCTGAACTGGCTCTCGCTGGTTTTGGGGTGGTTTTTTACAAGCTCATGGGCTGTTTCTATATAGTGAATATTCTGTCTCAGCAGAGCATTGCTACAGTGACTGGAGTGAGGAGTGGAAAGGAGTGGGAAGATTCCTCTTTTTTCCCAGCGTAGCTGGAGCTCTGATGCAGCACAGTCCATGTCCAAGCTCAGGGCTTGGATTACATTTGTTTTTTTTTAAATTTTCAAGCACTTCACCTTCTGCCAGGTGCTGGCCCATCCTGGGCTGCTGAAGGTGTGTTTTTAATACTGTTGCACCTTTATCCCCCACCACCTGCACCCCCACACCCAGAGGCAGCAGCCCAAGGCACTGCAGTGACCTTGGCCCACACACAGAGTCCAGGAGGATTCCCTGTGGATTCCCTGTGGATTCCCAGCGTGGGATTCCAGCTCCTTCCTCCGTGCCCTGGAATTACAGAGTCTCCCCTGGAGAGACCCAACACATCCCATCGTCATCCTGAAGGTGTGAAGGGGGATGTGGATCACCGTGGTGCCCGTGGAGCTGTGAAGGTACCAGGGGGAATTTGGGAGGTGGTGCAGCACAGCCCCTCACTGTCCTGCCTTCTGACTGTGCTGTTCAACAGCAGAGACCCCAAATTCCAGTCAGGAACTGCCCAGCTGCCTCCTGTCCTCCCTCCTCTCTCCCCCTCTGGCACAATCCCATTATCCTGCTGTGCCGTCCCTTTATTGGGGCACGGGGAGCTGGAGGAGGGATGGGCTGTAAACCCCTTTGTGTGCCAGAACAAGAGTCCTTTTTGCACTTTTAGCACTCCCTGTATCCCCACACCACCCCAAACAGCCTTGCAACTGCTGATGAATTGCCTTCCCACCATTATCCTGCAGCCAGGGGGGGATTTGGTGGCAGGGCTGGTGTAGGAAACAGCTCCCTGCAAACCCCCCCGTTGCTTTTAGAGTGGGGGAGAAGAGGAGGAGCAGACTTTGTGGGACAAAAAGGAAATGAAGAAACCCCTCCCCTACTTCTCTTTGGTGCCTCCTTCCCCCCCCCACGTACCCCAGGTACTGGTTGTGGGGAAAAAACTGGTGCCCAAAAATTGGTACAAGCACAGCAGAGGTGTCAGGAGAGCGAGGAGGAAACTCAGCCTGCAGGGCTGGAGTTAAAATGCTGCGTGGGTTTGAGATGGTTTTGATATTCCATGACCCTGGGATGCTACAGAATTGTCCTGCCCATGTTTTAGGTTTGGATTTCAGCAAATGGCCTTCAGTGACGTTTTTCCCTTGAAAACAGGGCTATAAATTGCTCTGTCCTGATTCCTGGTGAATTAGGACTGGTTTTCTTTGGCAAATTATTCCTCCTGCCTGTCTTTTCTTACTCTGTGTAATCTATGGAGGGAGAAGGTGGTAGAACAGGAACCAATTGCCTTCACTGAGCATAAAAAAATCTGAGTTTTCCTTCTCTGAAGCTGAAAATAATTGATGAGTGAACAGTGAGGGTTAAGAAATTTAAAACCAGTGCTCCGCTGTTTTAATTAAAAGCTGAAATACCTGGGCTAGAATTGTGTCATGCAAATATTGCCAAATTTGGGGCTAGGGGTGCTTAAATACCCCCTTTTCTGTGCTGCTGTTTTCACTGTAGAAACATGGAGAACTGGCTAGCAACAAAATTGAAGTGCCTTGCTGAATTTTACTTTGCTGTGTTTAAAAAAAAAAAAAAAGAAATAGGAAAGAAAATGGGTTTTAATCCTATAAATATTTCTAGTTCTTTGTGGAACATGAGGAGACGTGCCTGAGTTTTTAAAGGGTCTGTCACGAAACTGTTAAGATTCAGGTGTTATTTATTGATTTTTTTGTACGTGCACCTTAAAGTGTTTTGGCAAAGAGACCAAGTCTTGGAGCCTGAAAGGTGGAGAAACCCCTGCCCAGGACTCACCCACTGCTCAGCCCAGCTTGGCACTGGAAATTCCCAGTTCCTGTTCTGTCCAGTTATAGAATCCCAGGATGGTTTGGGTTGGAAGGGACCTTAAAGCTCAGCTCATCTCCTCCCACGGGCAGGGACACCTTCCACTAGCCCAGGTTGCTCCAAGTTTATCCAAGGTGGCCTTGGACACTTCCAGGGCTGGGGCAGCCACAGCTTCTCTGGGCAACCTGTGCCACCCTCACAGGGAATTCCTGGCCAGAAAAACCTCTCTACACCTTTCACTTTAATACCCACCAGTGCCTCTTTGGTGCCTGAACCTTTAACCTGCACCTTTTCTTTCAGAAGTGCCTTTAAGACTCGAGCAAAAAGCCAAAGGAAGGTGTGTTGGGTTTTTTTTTCCTCTTCTGCATCATTTCTGTTTGCCCAGTGGTTTCCAGTCCCGGTGTGAGCCTTTGGGGGGGGGGGTTTATTTTGCACACTTACTGTTGGTTAACATCTGACACGGGAGACAAATGTTTAAAAAAAAAAAAAACCCCCCAAGCTGCACACCAGAAACAGCCGTTGCTCACGTGAAACCCCAAGCAGACAGGAAAACGATTTCCCTGTGCAGATGTGTGTGTTTGCAGAGATCTCTCTGGGGCACAGGGGGCTTAAAAAAAACCCAGGCAAAACAAACCCAGCAACCCCCTGGATTTAGTTTGGTAAAAACAGGTTCAAAAAGCCCCGTCAAAGGTGCTCTTTCTGGGCTGGGCAGCGTGGAAGGGACGTGGGCACGGGCTGTGCCAGCTGGAATTAAGTCTTGTTTTTAAAACAACTGAAAGGGAAGGGAAAAAAAAAAAAAAAACAACCAAGAAAACCGTTTGAAACGAAGT